CTTGCTGAATACAATCAGGTGTACGAAACTTTGAGATAAAATTAGCCGTTGTATCACAGGCTCCGATCGACGAGACACATTTCACTAAGCCCAGTGAAGCCGGGCTAATGTCATTGACACACATTCTTTCCATTATGAACGATAATTAATTAAGTTACAACTCCATTGTTCAATTTAAGGCAAGCGTAGTAACGTTAACAAGTGTACTTTTGGGTCTTTGTACAAGTAACTATAGGATTATTTATACAGGTGTTTGAGAACAATGGACAGGTGGACACTTCAGCACAATTCTATTGAAAATCTTTTTGAATAAAATTTAGTAAGCCTAGACACAGACCGATTTTTAGTTGGCCGATAGTTGGGTCGGGCTGTTGATCAATATAGAGATGTATGGAAGTGCGTACATTACACAGATTTGGTATTGACCGATTCTTGATACAAATTAGAATCGGGCCCAACTATCGGCCAACTAAAAATCGGTGGCCTGCGCCTAGGCTGACAGAGCGTTTTAAACCTTAGAGAAATCTTGGTCTTGTCACTAGAGTTGAGTGGTCATATTCTCACCTAGTGGGAAGTTGGGAACTAATGAGTATGGTACTTGAGACGCCATGAACCTAGAATAAAGTAGTGGTATCACGTCTGAGAATATTCTTTCTAGGCTTCCGTATTTAACGGAGAGTTAAATTACAGTTAAATATTTTTTTTAAAAGTGGCCTGACTATGTCATTTGTCATCATACTCGTAATGAGTCCATCTAGCAATGACAAGTCGTATCAGCAAAATTTAATATAGCTGGTATAGCATGTTTTGTTGATTGAATTAGGGTAAGTGTGCTAGTTTTCGTCCAATTATCGGAGTTGCCAACTTTGTGATGCGAAATGAATATCTTAAAATACCCTTACTCATATGAATCAAATGTCATTTTAATCCTTATATAGTCTACTTTACGTTAATATTATATGAAAATAAGTAAATACCACGGGTTTTTTTATAAAAAATATTTTATGCAAAAGAGGCGATTTCACTAGTTTTCGTCCAAAAAAATCAGTTTTCGTCCTAGTTTACGCTAGTTTTCGACCACTGTGTAGAAAAAAGGGTGCAGTTGAATTATTAACTTAAAACCAATTCTACAATACAGTAACTATGGATTGTGGTATATCATTTGAAAGGTAATTTTGTTAGCTTTCAAATGATATCAAAAAGATTTAAATAAGTTTCTTACCTAAATTTAGGAAAATATTGCAATAGGTCGAAGGATAAATGGACGAAAACTAATCTACAGGAATAGCTAATTTTGGTTTTCGTCCACCCCAGTGTTTGCTCATGACGTCATGGACGAAAACACAACAACGTTTAAAGCTGTTTTTTGTTTTCGTCCACATCTTTTTAACGGTTTTTATGGGTTTATCACTGTTAAAAAGTGGACGTAAACTAAAATGTTTAATGTAATAGCAATAAAGATCATATTGGAAGAAAAAACATTGTATTTTGTAGGTCCATTGAAGTAAAATGATTATTAAAAATATTAACTAGGTGTCAGGGTTTCCGTCCACGTGGACGAAAACCAAAATCTTGCAAAATTGTTATGCTAGTATTAGTCCACTTAATTATCTAAGATTTCTATACAAAAACTTTAATAAACCCTTAAAATAGTGTTTATTATGCTAATAATTAGACATACGTGCCAAAAACATAACGTAAAGTAGCTAAAACAGTAATTAAACATACCATGAAAGTTCCCTACCGGCACGTTTTTTTTCTAACTTGACGACGTTTTCCATTCACCTGTGTGCAGCAGCAACTTCCGTAGATTTTTTTGGAGTTATTACTTGTCAAATTACATTTTCATGCAGGCAGAACTGTTACTTAGATATTATAGATTGTAACAAGTCCAAACTTGCACGGAAAGTTCGGTTTGTATTCTAATTTTCCGTATTTGTTTGTGACAAGTCGGTCAAATGGACGAAAACAGGAGCTGGACGGAAAACCGGCGCAATTACCCTACCTCCAATTGAATGCTGACCTGCCAGCGATTAGAGGCAGATTGCGCAGGCGGGCGTTGCATCGCTGTTATGATTTATGATAGTTCTACAAGTAGGTTAACCCTTCTAGAGTATTGAAAAAGACATTACTGGCTAGGAGATCGAAGCTTGAATCGAAACAATTTCGTATCGTTTGTAGGTTAAAATACCTAATTAAAATACCCAACCTAATTCAAAATCGAATAAGTAATATGATGAACGCCAAAGTAGGTAAGGATCGGTTCTTCATGTAACTTCACGATGTTATCTTATACTAATGGCACATAAATGTAGGCTATAATAAAGACATTTCATCCCTACTAATATTATAAATGCGAAAGTAACTGTCTGTCTGTGTCGCTTTCACGCCTAAACCACTGAACCGATTTTGATTAAATTTGTCATAGAGTCCCGGGAAAGGACATAGAATAGTTATTATCCCAGTTTTTGAAGAGGGACGCGCGCGATGAAGTTTTTCTGTGACAGACAAAATTTAACGCTGGCGAAGCCGCGGGCGGAAAGCTAGTTACATAAAGTTCATTTAGACACCAAGTCCACGGGTAGGTAGGTACCTACATACTATGTTTAGTATGACTACCGACCGTCCCGACAATATCTACGCTGCCGAAGGACATGCGATAATGACTTTTTTGTGACGACCCGACCATCGCTTCTAGATTGTAGGTACCTTCGTGAAGTTTTTGTAATAGGTAGGTACGTATTCGTATTCGGGGTGTTCGTCGATATCGACAATAATCCTCATAATCGATCAAAGTTCAACTAGATAAAATAGTAAATACCTATCTGAAATCTACCTTTGTAAGGACATAACAGAGATATGGATGGGTATCAAATAAATAGATAAATAGATGTTATCTATTCCCTTCAGATACCCAAGGAAACCTATAAACCTATTAAGTCCTCCTTTCCGAAAATCCGTGCTAGGTTCGAATTCCCCGGTTTCGAGACTCTGTAAGCTTCATAATAAATACTGCGATCAACTATCCCTATTTTGCACATCTATCCACAAAATTAAGCGTCAGATACATCAGTTAGAGTTTGCTTAATTTAATCCCTATATTTTCCATATCATAAAAAAAAAATATTCACTATTAATTGTTGCATTAAAATTTACTTAGATACCTACACTCTTTAACAACTCACTTATGCATGTGGTGTTTACCTACTTATAGTTGTACACTTAGTCCTAATAATTGTATTTGATAAACTAAAATGTATTAGTGTAACAATGTATTGGTGAACCAAATAAATAAATAAATAAATAAATAAATCTATTCTAGATACTCAAGGCATGAAAAAATACATATATTATTATAAAATGGGTTTAAGTTTGTTTTTAAGGGTCCCGTATGTAGTGGCGAAGGTCGATTTAGCGAAGTACCTACGTTTTAGCGAAAAACACTCATGGTGGTAGGTACCTACCTCCGCTGGAGCGAAAGGCTACTGAAGCGAAACACTCCGAACCGACTTTGCTGACCTAGGAGAGCTTAATTTTGATTTATATTACCCGTTTTTTAAACTTTTTTGTCATTTGTCTTTTTTTAAAGGCTCCATTGGACACAAAAATTGCTTGCAATTAATATTAACAATTGTTTTGTTATTTTTTTTAATTAGTTAATTGGTCAGTGTGCAAGTGCCAAATAAGCATCTATATTTTTTGTACTGCCAGTTTTTTATTGTTATAATAATAGAAAGTAATAATAAAAAGATAAGTAACATCATTTTATGTAAGTTAAATAAAACTGAATGGCCATTGTAAAGAATACCATTCAAAGTAGTGTTGCAACAAATAATAAAGAAAGGAAAGCATTTACAATGAGTCACTTCTCCGTACAAAGGGCAGGATGCTCATATGACCATGACACCGCATAAATGATATGAACTTCTTTGTTCGAAACTCTTTTCATTTCCTTTTGATCGCACTACTCTCTCAGAATCTGCATTGATTGATGCTACTGTTTATGTGTTACTTAGTGTTGTGTATTAATTGTCCTATACTTAACAGTTATTAGTTCTTTTAAATAAATAAAAAATAATACACTATGTGCTAATGTCAAAAGAAAACAAAAAAATATTAAAAATAATATGGAGATACACAATAAGAAAAGAAATGATAAAATTAAGATCAAAATAATTCCCTATGTGTAGAAAGGTAAGAAAACTATGTAAATGTAAATAATACAATAATAATATGTTGCTGTGTCTTTTATTATAAGACACTAACTATATTATGTAGATAATGTTCTACTTAGGTACTCTAAACTTTTATCAAGGAAGAACCCAATATATTGTAAAGAATCTTTACTGTACAAATGTTTTTCTTATGTATTCATATCTTAGTAAGTACATCAATAAATGTTATTATTCATTTATGATTTACTATTTTGGTTCATCATACACTGTGTAACATAAATTCCAGCACAATTCCAGTTCCAATCTCTAAACCACAATGAGGTTTTATTAATCATAGCTCTTTGCTTGGAGTGAAGATACGGGTTACTAGAACCACCGGAATACCGGACCACATTCCAATGTAGGAAGTAGCCATATGATAAGAAAAAAAGTGAATAAAATTTTGTGTAGCCCCGCTCCCGCACCTTCACAATAAATCGAATAGTAATATAAAAACAGATGGTACCAAATACCAAAGCACACTATTATCAGAAATAAGGTTAAATTACAAAAAAAACTCGTGCTCGCAAGAGCGCGTGGCCGCTGCACCAACTAAACAATGTAATAAAAACTCAACACTCACCAAATCATAGTCCAATGATCATAAATAATATCCACTGATGTTCATAACAGGAAAGTTAGAGCGCGAAATTAAACTTTTGTTTCATTGAAGACCCTGCATTGGAGTAAAAAATTAAAAACACGTGCAACACGTCCTCCCCCTTCCGCGTCGTTCATTGCACTTCAATTTCGGTGTTGTCATGTGTCAATATTAATTAATGATTAATATTGCCCCTAAAAGAAAACCATCTCAATTAAAATAGTTGATATAATATTCAGAATATAATTAATGTATTCTGAACATATACGGATGTATTATGATTATGGGGAGGGAGGAGAAGTTTGATTTTGTATAGAAGAAAAACTATTTACATGTGGTAACATTCACTTCAAATGTCATTGCCTTGCCCAGTCCTTTCCGGTTCTATTTTTAAAATATTTTTCCTTCTCATTTTCTTTCATTTGTTTTAATTTGTTCGTAATTAATTTTGTAGTGACCACTGAATAAAATGGTGAACGCAAGTTTAGCATACGAAATTCTACTTTACATAAATTCGTTTTATTTCGGTCTATTCGCAACATGTGAACTAGGAACGCTGATCCTGAAATCCGTATTGATTATAGAGAAGTATGGAGTCGACAAGGATCCAACCAAACTAGGCCAAGATTACGGTGTTTTATTGGGTTTGTTTGTGATCGAGGCGATCAGATTAATATTAGGCAGAAAGGGCAGTCTCAGTGAGAGAGGTAAGTTATTAAATTTTAGTTTATCAATGTAATATTTTTCATGACTCACATATTTTCTTACTCACAAAAATTTATTCTATACCTACCTAAAAGTGTTTTCATAAGAAAATGAAACTAATATAACATACCATTATTTTCAGATGTGCCAGTGATGTTCTCGGTGCTGCTAACAGTTCCCTCTATGATTGGTGTTCTGTATCTGCTCATCTGGCAAGTCGTGGTGCTAAGGATCGAATACATCTGGTGCACACTGATGTTGTCCTTGCAAATGCTAGAGTTTATGTTTGCGGCTATGTTTATTGTCACTATGTGTAAAGGCCCGACATACGACTAATTTTAATTTAGTTAAGGCATTTTATAAACAATGTTTTTTCAATTTGAACTCATTCGCCAAAGATTTGTAATAAGTACAAGATGCCAACATCCTCTTATACTATTATGTTTATAATAACTATTTTACTATTTGAAGTTGCTAGTCATGGATAATTAAAATATTTTCATAAAGGTAATAATATTTAACTACAAGATTATTAGCATTTTTGAATTACCTGCAACTATTTTTATACAGACAGAAAGTATGTACTTACTAAAATGTATGATATAAGATTTTATTTATGAAAGTTTAGATACCTACCAAAGATTTTAGTTTAGTTAGATGTGTGTTGACACTACACAACACAAGCCAGTATTTTATCACAGAGTGAGTGTTGTAGCACAAATATTATTTGTGTTGTGTGTAATATTTTGAAGCAGTTTTTCTGCAATTTAGATGTTTGTCTGTGACAGTTCTATTTATTATAGTTCATCTCATGATAACTAATGTACTTTAATGTTTTGGAAAGAGTATATTTCCCACTTATTATTATTAAGACCATAAATTCAGCCCTATATGTAACAAAAGTGATAATGTGGCCTTTTATAGATATGTATAGTGTTTATTATCAAAGTAAATCTTCCATTGTATTGTAGAAGATCTTATTGATACCAAGTTTGATGTTTGAAATGTTAAAATTGTTGTGCTTTACTATTATAGATATGCAATTTTTATAATACTTACTTAATATTATTGAACATGCAACATAAATACATAAACTTAATATTTACCAAAGAATAATCCAAGTTGTGATATTTATTCATTTTTATTATCTATATTCAAGTCCATAAAAATAAATGATTATGTAAATTACATACTTAAATAAATAATTTATTTATAACTATTTCTTAGAACAGATATACATTTATGGATTGCAGTGTATTTGAATCACATTAAAATTACTTTACAAAATCATTGTTATTTTCAATGTCTATTCTTTTCTGTATTCTGTTTGTAGGTAAAGAGGCATGCGCCCCTTGGCCATTTTATCTCTTTTGTGAACCCTGAGTTCATGTCTCATAAAAGCTTTTCTTGTGCCATATTTGTTACCACACATCCTGCAGCCAAAGTCTTTGATGCCTGCATGATCAGACTTAAAATGGACATCCATATCTTTCTGTGTATAAAAACCCCTCCGGCACTCCACACATTTGAATGGTCTATCTTTTTTATGGGTCAGCAAATGCCTATTCAAATTGCTCCTGGTCAGAAACCGTAAGTGGCACTTATCACACGAAAATGGCTTGTCCCCAGTATGAGTTCTCATATGAATTTTTAGGGATTCCATGAATCGTCCCCTGTATGGACATATTTGGCACTGGTATGGCAGTTCAAAGCTATGCAGCTGCATGTGCCTGACAAGATTGTCTTTTCGATACAACTTTCCACACACATCACAAATCAGGTGTGAAGCTGACTCATGTCTTGTTAAATGCTTCTTGTAAAGCTGAGGTGTCAGTAATCCAAAACAAATTGGGCATTGGATTCGCACATTTCTGTGTTGCTTGGAACTTTTATGAGCCAGATATTCCTTGTGGGAATCGAAGTTTAACTTGCAAACTTTACATTTGTAAGATGTAAGTTTTTTTGTTGTAGATTCAGAATAGTCATTGTTATCAGTTTCACTGAATGTTTCTGGTTCTAATTCGACTGTAGGGTCAGCTTGAATAGGAGCTTGATTTAGAAGTATTGCTTCAGTTTCTTTAGCCGACTTTCGGAATAAAATTGCACCTTGTAGAAGAGAGTGGCAGGCGTTGCATAAGTATTTCGGATACTCGTCACCTTCGCTTAATTCGATGTCTCCAAAAGATCTTACTGCTTCTGATAAATCTGCTGCACTGTCCTTAGCGTAAATAGGCACAGAACCATCCTTCAAACATATTCTGCATGTTATTTTAGTGGAGTTCGTGGAGTCTAAAAAATTGTTTAGGTCTACTTCAGTTTCACGTTTTTGAATACGTTTTTTCTGTCGTTTTCTTCGCAGAATTTTCAAAAAGAAGTACGACGTGGCCATGTTTTCATTCGACAAGTTTAAATTAAATTCAAACCTAAAATACGTGTTTTAACCGTGCCGATATTTCCTGAAATTAAGAAGAAAGAAAAGAAACAAAATCAAAACATTACTTCAATTGTTTTTTTTTCAGCAGACTCCGGTTGTCAGTCAATCTTTTATTTTTATTTGTCTATAACGAATAACGTTACGTGGTATATCTGTGTATGATGAGAGAAGAATCAATCTCAAGGAAAAAAATCTCCGAGCTTCTATGTTATAATCTCTTCCACATAAAGAGTAAATAAAGAGCGATATTAATTTAAACTTATTTATTTATTTAGAACGTGCACATAACACTTCAGAAGGCGGACTAAATGCCAGTCTGCATTCTGCTCCATAGTTAATTCCTCTATATTCTCCTCATTTACACTTTTCTTTAAATCTGAGAAAGAAAATATATCTTTTAGAATGTTTGTAGAGTTAGATAAATTAAGGAACTCATAATAATGATGGTATGATTACTACAACTCTCACTTGATAGTTCTTAGTATATATTTTTTTTGTAAAATATGGCTGTATGCTGAAATAGACTGAGTTAATCAATATTGAGGAACACTTTCTTTAGCATAGGTATTTGGGAGGGAAGTCGTGAGTTTTATGTAAAAACATTAAAGTTGCTTCTTTTCATCATAATTTATTTTAAAACACTACCAAGGGTAAATTGAGTAATTTCCTAAACATTTGAGAGATATTTATAGCATATTAGCATCCTGTTTTTTCTTCTCTGCCACCAAATATGATGGCATGCGGCCAAATAGTTGCTTTTCCCTTTTGTGTACTCTTCGTTGATGTTTCATCATTGCATTTCTATATCCAAATGCTTTGCCACATATGTTACACACATGATTTTTAATTCCTAAATGGTCTGCTTCAAAATGTCTCTGCAACGCTAGTGTAGTGTGGAAAGCTCGTTTACATGTATCACATTTATGTTGGGGTTCTTTGTGCTTAAACATGTGGCTGTTTAAATTGCTTTTGAATAGGAATCGCGCTGGGCATTCTGTACACATATACCGATAGTCCCCTGTATGAGTTCTCATATGAGTCTTGAGGAGTTCAGCATACCGTCCTCTGTATGGACAAAAAGAGCATTTGTGAGGAAAATCATTTCTATGCCGGATACTATGGTTGCGGTAGGCACATCGAAGTCTGAACGACTTTCCACAAATGTCACACACAAATTTCTTTTGATCGGAATCATGTAAGGTCATGTGCTCTCTGTAATAAGATTTGTTGATTATTTTATTGCAAATATTACAAGTGATTTTAGGGGGATTCTTATTTTTTTCTGCTTTTTCTTTCTTTATGGTCTCTACTTTTTCTTCTACGACCTCATTGTTTTCTGGCCATTTGAATTCTGATGGTTTTATTTCACTTAATTCATTGTCACTGAAGCTGTGATGTGAATCTCCTGGATCAAGGTAAGTTTCTTCTTTGAGAGGCTGTCTGAGGATTTCTTCGGCCTTTTTAGCTGTCTTTCTGAACAGTTTAGCTGTCTTTATGAAATTGTAACATGTCTTGCAAAGCAATTTCGGGTATTCGTCTTGGTTACTAACAAAAATGTCTCCAAATGTCTGCAAGGCTTCGACAACTTCCTCAGAGTTTTCATCTTCACTTTCAAATATCGCAAACGTGCCCTTCTGCAAGCAAACTCTGCATTTTGAATCGATATCGTCTTTTGTTTTTATTAACGCCTCTGGTAGTTCTGTATAATAGTCGTGGATGTTGTTATTACTACTGCGTTTGGCCTTTTGAGCTTTGGACCAATAATACCAAGTAGTCATTTTATTCCGATAACACGATTAAATAATTTTTCGAATAGATTTCGAAAAAGCTAGAAACAAACAATTCAAAATAAATGTTACTATTTTTAAAATGTCAAAGAAATGAATGAACGATGAGCTTAATCATTCATTCTTCTCACGCACACAGACAAAACATTTCATTGATATTGATTTTTCCATACTGTGGATTTTTCATTCTAGATTACGTTTATTGACAAACAAAGGTCAGTGACCTTTCACTTTTTTATTTTAACATTGAAAGCCAGCAATGAAATCATTTATTAATTGTGATTTTTTAAGCTTATGATTAAAATCGGTGAGATTATAAGATCGGATAAATGCGGCCAGCCTCTCTTCTATATTGGTTGCTATAACAGAACATACGTTGCAAAAAATAAAAATAAACGTTTGCTTTTTATACATTTAATTTTACGAAAAAGTCCGTAAATTTTTAGTGTATAAAATATAATTAGTGTATAAGTAATAAAACATAAATACATTTATGTATCTTTTGCAATTTCAGGATTATCTTTCAAGTAATCAGCCACACGGCCCTTGCCATTTGTTAATCTTTTACGTTTGTGCACTTTGAGCTGGTGACACATCATGCTGTTTCTGGAAGTAAAAGCTTTTCCACACATATTACAGGCAAAGTTTCTGATACCCAAATGAATAGCATCATTGTGTTTATCAAAATCGGATTTGGAATAAAAATATTTATCACAGGTTTCACATTTGATGTCTGTAGGACCCTGATGCCTTTGGAGATGTTTATTGAGGTTGCTCTTGGTGATGAACTTAGCAGGACATTTGGTGCATTTGTAATTATAGTCTCCAGTGTGTGTTCGTATATGAATTTTCAGAAGTCCAGCATAGCGTCCTCGATAAGGGCAAAACATACATTTATATTTATACTCATTGCCATGGGTTAACATGTGCAGTTTTAAAGCATATTTTCGTTTAAAATCTTTTCCACATTGATCACATATAAGTTTTTGAATTGAGTCATTGTCTTTGTGAGTCCGGTTGTGTTTTCTTCTTGGTTGATATTCATCATTTGTTTGTTGATCTGGATGAATTTTTTGGATATGGGCTCTATAATATGAATAGCATACAGATTTTTCGCAAAATGGACATTTTCTGAGCCTTTCCCCTTTTTCTTCATCATTACCATGTAGTTTTAAATGTAGTTTATAATATGACTTGGTCAAATATTTTTCACATACTGGACATTTAATTTTTGGGTTGTCAGAAGGTTTTTTCAGAGCATTTTCATGTTCTTCTGTCTTACAATGTACCTCAAAATCTTCTATAGACTGAAACAGTATCTCGCAAGTTGTGCATTCTTGCATAAGTAAGCTTACTTCCTCAGAGTTATGAGTTTTTAAATGTTTATTAAAATTTTCTGTCAATACAAATAGATTACATTTAGGACATTGAATGTTCATAGGTCCCAAACAGTTGCTATTGATATGTTGATTATAATCTTGAGTAGACTCAAAATTCATATTGCACAGATCGCAGTTGTAACCTTCAGTTTCCTCATCTGAATTTGCATTTTCCGTAGATATTATAGAATTCTTATCAGTGTCAGAAACAATGATCATTACCATTTCATTATCCTCACTGTTTTGTAACAGTTCTGATTGATCTATTCGGTCTAAAGCATTATTATCACTGTCACTTTCCTGAAAATTGTCTTCATCAGATACTGGCTCTTCCATGTATGACTGAGTTTCTTTAGCAAGGGTTCTAAACACAACCGCACTTTGCAGTAGCTGGTAACAAGTCTCGCAGATGTGTTTCGGAGTGTCGTCATATTTATCGAGACAAATATCACCGAAAATTCTGATTTCCTCAGAAATCCTGGAATCGTCCTTTTCATCATAAATCGGAATGTCACCGTCGCCCAAACAAATTCGACATATTTGGTCTTCCATTATGGACAGAAATGCTGTATGATCTTTTTTTAGCAGAGTATGTTATCCAATTTATTTAGTTTTTCCTTGTTGTGTTGACNGGCTTTTATTGATGGTATACTTGGAATTGCTCTAGAGCCAATGAGGAAGTTGGAGACATTCTCATAAAATGACAGATGAATGAATGAATGAACTTCAATCTTTGCGTTTTGTTTTCATCACAGATATGGATTAGAGGTTTTCATCATCATCTATTTCCTGCATAGTGTACCTACAATGCGCCAAAAGATTTAAAAGTATCTTTTAGTCCTTCCCCGTTTAGTGGTGAATTTTTTGTATTATTATAAAATTGTGAGTAGTATTTGTATGAAAGTCGTGCGAACATGTTTATTTTCTAGGGTCACAGAGTCAACAAGGAACCTATCTAAGTCCGACTTTACTCAATCAACATAGCACAGCGACCCAATAATATTTAGTTTGCAATAATTTTAGCTTTCAAATGTATAATAAGTGCTTAGACTGTTTACCTAAGTGCCTAATACACTTAAACATCTGTAGTGGTTAAATTAAAAACTTTAAAATTGTCAAAGCTATTTATTTGATACATTAATAAATAAAACATTACACAATGACATAAATAATAATCACAGACAATAATAATAGCATTATATTATTTAATGTAAATAAAATTATTGTAACTTCAAATATTTAGGTACCTACTCTTTTCCATGATCTAGTTTGTGAATTTCTCATAAAATCAGGGAAACATACAAATTTAGGTCAATTTCTTAAGTAAGTAAATAAATACAAGTAAATTAATGCCTAATTATGATAATTTTACATTATTTTCTTTAACATTTCTAAAAACGGTAAATAATAATATAGCAACGGCAAAAAATAATTATTATAAAATATGTTGAATCGCACTATCTTCATAAGAGTTGTAGGTGCGTACAACATTAGTTAAATCTTTCAAAGAAACTGCTAATAAAATTGAACTATGTTTTATGATTCCCAAGTCATATTTTTATGGGAATTATACATTCTTTGTGAAGCCTATAAAATAAATGAATTAATAGAAATACCTAAATGAGTTAATTCTGTTAAAAAATAAGTATTTTAATTGTGTCAGATAATAAGTTACAATTATATGAATTTTGAATAAAAAAACAATATAAATAAGTAAGTAGGCGAGTAACGTTTTAGTTCGGCCTTAAGGGGCCGCGCGCGCGCAGTTTATACAGCTATTTTATAATCACCCAAAATAATTTTGAGAGTGGAATAAAATATGACAAAGTTGGTATGTGAACTTCCGAGAAATTATGTTTTAAGTAACGGCGGAGTATCTCATTTTCAGTATATTTCGTATGAAAATTTGATTCTATCTAATATTTTATTTCACTCTTGGAATATCTTTGATAATTATAAAATAAACTCCNGGGAACGAGAGGTGGGAATAGTCCCGTAAAATAAACTCCACAGACTTCAGTTATTACGCCAAAATTAAGTTTTACGAATTCAACTATTTGGTTTCGCTAAGCATTTTGCATTTTTAAACAAGTCTACAATTTATCTATTGAAAACTATTTTACATGAATTATACTCGCTCTAACTGGCATATATAACATTAATACTCAATAATACCGGCTTTAACTTTCCTATATTAATCTAATCGCTAGATACTATTTAACTCTCACTTTTATTAATTAGCATTAGTAACTGTTTACAATGTAAGTCGATAGAAATATAAAAAAGTAAGAATTTGATTAGAAAAGAGTATTGTATAACGTGCTTAATTTAAGGTAGTAGTTTATCAATTCCGAGATTTTCACATTTTAAACAAAAAAGGACTATAAATTGATTTTTTTGGAAAGTTTTATCGTTGTGATATTAAAGTAAAATTATGTTATTTTGTTGGCATTGAAATTTATATTACGTTTAAATAAAAGAAATAAACCCAAAAACTGAGAAAAAGATCTCGGAATCGATTCTATTGCTTCGTAATTTGAAAGTGCTTAAAAAGGGATCATCTTATACGGATTGCCTTTTATATTTAAAAAAATAAATCAGATGAACAAGTTTTGTCACTCGCCAGTAGCGCCAACTAGTGGGCACTTATAGCTATTTTATGTTATCAAAGTTAACAAATATGTAATAGGGTTGACAAAGAGTCGATAAAGTGTACATCGATATAAAATCGAATTATTAATAATAGGCAATGCGTGTAAGACATAATCAAGAGTACGAAGAGTTTTACAACAAGGAAGCATAATTTCCAAAACACCTTAAAAGCTATTAATATTTATATCAAATTCGCTAACATATTGGTGCATTAATAGTCTATAATTTACCAATCACTAATACCCGGTTTGTCCGTTTCAATCAAATGAATTGAATGACATTTCGTGTGATAGATAATCAACATGGTTGAAGTAAAGACACACTAAAACATAAAATGGGTGTCAAGTTTAGAGTTACGTATGATATATTATTATCTCCAGTCCTCAAACTTTTTCTGAATGGAATAAACTAAATCAATTTATTTAGTTCATAAACACTCATTCAATGCTTCAGTTGTTTCTGAAGGACTCACACAATCATTTTGATTTCGGAAAACCAGGTTAAACAATACACGTAGCAACATTTCGCTATTTCAACGGCTACCGCTATTATTACAGCAACGGTAATTTAACTATACCGGTATATATATTTTGCTAACATACTATGTAATCTTGCCTACATTGTCACAGATATTTTGAACACTATGTCGATACAAGTCAAGCTATCATTCTGAGGACTAATATTACTACTAATTTAATACCTTAAATTACTTGCATTTGCGTATTTTTAAAGTTATACTATTGTGAATCGAGTAAATACTGTTTATTTTTTATAGTTTGTGAGAAAATAGTCTGTTATAAAAGGCTTTTCGTTGCCTATGTCGATTATAGTGCAAAAGTATAAAATTAATCTGTTATGTAAAAGCTATTATTGCTATAAATGTATGTATTGTAAATATTTCATAAAAGTAGTTTTATCGATATAATATGTGTTACACATCGGAACAACTCTATTTTGTATACTAAGGCGAATGTTACAATAGAATCGTTGGGGAACTATTTTGGTGAACTCGTACAAACAAAGAAATACGCTTGCAGGGTTTTCTGCCTCCATCAAAAAGGCGCATCTTTAAAATATCAATCAATTATTTTCCAATACTGTTTGGTTTACTTTTAGCGGATATTCGACTCTTAATGGAGGATCTCGGAATCGATTCTATTGCTTCGTAATTTGAAAGTGCTTAAAAAGGGATCATCTTATACGGATTGCCTTTTATATTTAAAAAAATAAATCAGATGAACAAGTTTTGTCACTCGCCAGTAGCGCCAACTAGTGGGCACTTATAGCTATTTTATGTTATCAAAGTTAACAAATATGTAATAGGGTTGACAAAGAGTCGATAAAGTGTACATCGATATAAAATCGAATTATTAATAATAGGCAATGCGTGTAAGACATAATCAAGAGTACGAAGAGTTTTACAACAAGGAAGCATAATTTCCAAAACACCTTAAAAGCTATTAATATTTATATCAAATTCGCTAACATATTGGTGCATTAATAGTCTATAATTTACCAATCACTAATACCCGGTTTGTCCGTTTCAATCAAATGAATTGAATGACATTTCGTGTGATAGATAATCAACATGTTTGAAGTAAAGACACACTAAAACATAAAATGGGTGTCAAGTTTAGAGTTACGTATGATATATTATTATCTCCAGTCCTCCAACTTTTTCTGAATGGAATAAACTAAATCAATTTATTTAGTTCATAAACACTCATTCAATGCTTCAGTTGTTTCTGAAGGACTCACACAATCATTTTGATTTCGGAAAACCAGGTTAAACAATACACGTAGCAACATTTCGCTATTTCAACGGCTACCGCTATTATTACAGCAACGGTAATTTAACTATACCGGTATATATATTTTGCTAACATACTATGTAATCTTGCCTACATTGTCACAGATATTTTGAACACTATGTCGATACAAGTCAAGCTATCATTCTGAGGACTAATAACACCTTAAATTACTTGCATTTGCGTATTTTTAAAGTTATACTATTGTGAATCGAGTAAATACTGTTTATTTTTTATAATTTGTGAGAAAATAGTCTGTTATAAAAGGCTTTTCGTTGCCTATGTCGATTATAGTGCAAAAGTATAAAATTAATCTGTTATGTAAAAGCTATTATTGCTATAAATGTATGTATTGTAAATATTTCATAAAAGTAGTTTTATCGATATAATATGTGTTACACATCGGAACAACTCTATTTTGTATACTAAGGCGAATGCTACAATATAATCGTTGCGGAACTATTTTGGTGAACTCGTACAAACAAAGAAATTCGCTTGCAGGGTTTTCTGCCTCCATCAAAAAGGCGCATCTTTAAAATATCAATCAATTATTTTCCAATACTGTTTGGTTTACTTTTAGGGGATATTCGACTCTTAATGGAGGAGACGACAGCACATCACACTATACATTTTCGTTGCAAAATAGCCCCTATTACAACATGTATAAGGTCCTACCACAGATCACAGAAACTAAAGGGAGATGTGACAAGGGGGCGGGGCCGGTGTCGCAGCAATATGCCCAAAAACAGAACACATTGCTCGTGACAGCAATGATGATAGCAGCGACGTCATAATGTAAACAGTTTACATTGCTTGCGTAGTACTAAAGATTATTCGAACGTTGAGTACTGATACCGCATGGATAATGAGAACATATTTTGATTAGGTACTCTGTGTGTGAATTTCTAATGCGACACTGAGTTTCGAACTCAGCGCAGTAGTTGGCATCTCTCTATATCTCTATGGGTCCTACAGTGTTTCGCTTGACGTGCCGTCGTCCGTAAATCAAGCGAATGCCTCTGTTTATACGAACTTAATTATTTTGTGACATAGGTATATTTATTATTCTGATTACGGTAAATATATCTTATAGAACTTGCGCAGGATAAAATAGTCAACTTTATATATTTTTCGTTCTATTGGCAAATATATTGTACTTTTATTATAGGTACTGTTAGTTCATTTTAATACATACATAGTACAGTTTGCTTCAAACAAAAGCTAGTGACATTGAAAAGGACTGAAAGTTTAACTTAAAGATTGCTATACTAATTAAATTGGAAATCAATACAGATTAATTTAACTCATAGTAAAATTGTTGAATAATACCATAGACAAAATTTGATGTCGTCGCAAAGACCATAGATAGACGGATTTTTTAAATAATTTGTTTATGTATTGTAATATTTTTTAAATAATGTGTGACTCTTTTACTATTAATTTTGGTCTGGAGAGAACTGACTGATGAAAAGGTTCAAAATGAACGAAATTTATGTTTTGTTACTTAAATCACCAGCTTGCCGAAAGCAAAACGTACTTGTATTTACTTTACCTTACACTAGTATTTTGAGTAATATTTTGCTAGACACGTTCTAATACAAAACTATGCTTCAATAGTTACATTTAATTTTAATACTGTTAGTGGACAAGGTTATAATTTCGTTAAACATGTTTGTACACGAGATTAAATATTACTACATTATAACAGGAATGTTTTAAATTTCAAGGTAAAGGGATTATTATACATATAGGATGAATGCAAACTACCCTAAAATGCGTCAACAAAGCCAAAATATACACATTTCTTAAAAAGAATATTAATTTTTAAATACAAATTGTCACGTTCAGCAATTTTATTACAATCAAAATGGGTTATAGTCATCAAATTGTGGAATAGTAAATTAGGTTTTATAATAGAGCCTAATTAAAGGAACTATAACATTTTTATGATACACAACAATGATTAAATATCAATACCACCTAATCACCTAAATGCCATAAAGTTAGCATAGGACTTTGTGTTCTATTCAATTGTGTTATAATTCAAGTTCGAAGAGATATTGATACTTTTTCATCGAAAAGAATGCATACTATTTACTAACATAGATGATAGACTACACATCAATGTAGATAATTCTTGACGCACTCTAAACCCTTTTAATCTATCTATCCTTGTCTAATCTATACGTGTGACAGAGGCAACCGATAAACCATAGGGTTATTAAACTGCGTTTTTGATCTTCTAGTAACTACACAAATTTATGGGAACATTACATCAATTCCTTGTAATATTACCGTCTTTAAGATCACTATTTATTCGAATTAACTAAAGCTGCTAAAACAAGAACTATGATGTAATTAATTGACGTTTTAAGCTAGACAATTAATAACATTCGGAATACAATATCCATAATTCGAATCAATAATATTATTCAAAGAAGACATCTATTTGGCTCTTTAAATAACAACGCGTTTGAAAATAAATTATATTCGATTATTATCTACCCTCAGAATAGGGTACGGTCAGCATCAAAAGTTGACGCACAGTTTTGACACTTATGTCTCTAGAAATAAGATCTGCAAACATTCAAAAGTGCGTCTAAAACTGATGCTGACTCAACGTTTTAATGCGTGGCGGCAGCGGCCATGTTTTAGGTCACGCCTTCTTTAATGTTGCCATATTAAAAAAAACTCAATCTCAAATATTATTCCTGCAAGTTTTGCAACATTAAAATTTTAGTTTTAAGAAAGCTAAAATGCGATACAGTTATGTAAATCGCTGAGACCTCTGCTTATAAAGCTTGTGTCTCATCACTGGAGAGAACAGTTAAGTATTGAAGTGCTCATTCTGATTGATTTTCAGAACGCATTTTTTTCTCTAAACAATTTTCTACTGCAATTTCATTTACTTCAGCTACGTGTGGTGTATCCTGTTGCCATAAAATTTTCAATTACAAAGCAAAGCTTTTTCTATTTTGTCACCTGTAATTCTAATATTTGGCTGGCAACACTGTCATTAGGTGACAAGTTAAACCTACAACTTACAATTTGAACGAATACGCGACTCAAGGATAACTAAAAGAACGTACCGTGTGTTTTCTACAATTTTAGCGAGTGGCAACACTACCGTTACAACGCCACGAGGCGAGTGTTACAATCGCGCCATTTTTCTTGGAGTTGCCTGTGCTCTTCGTACTGCTGTTCGGAAATGTGCTTCACTGCGGCGGAGCCCTGTGAATAAATAGAATATAACCAATAAATCTCAAAATTTCATAAAAAATAGGGATCGTAGGCGCCTATGATAAAATCATGTTTCTTCAACCGGTAGGAAATAACTGGTTTACTTATTAAAGTTAGGACAAGGATTGGGCGATCTTTTGACTTTCGGCATTGCCCAATGTGACGGTTGACTGACACATTTGGTCTAAAACTTGACGTAGTGTAGTGACCACTACACGTGGTAGGGTAAAAAGATTATGAGACATGTAGAGGCTCCTTAAGAGCAAAATGACGATTTGTAAGAACTATTTATTAGTCCAAACAAATAAAGAAATTTTGACTTTGACTTTTGACTTTGACCTAAATTATCCAGAAATCAAGTCAAACCAACAGTTTGGCTAACTGCATACATGAAAATAATCTAAGACAAAGATGAAACTAATCACCTTAGGCAATGCCCACAGTTCTAATAAAAGTTTCTAAGTAAGAACTAAACGGGTATTTAGGCAGGATTCACATTGACGGCGCGAGACGGCGCGCAACGCAGCATCCGTTCGGCCAAAAATGCGGTGGGATGCTCGCGACGCGACGTATGCTCGCGCAACCCTCCGGATTGAAATGTCAGTAATCAGTTGTAAGCAATTACGACTCTAAGAACTGTTAATAAAATACTATTTTCTATACGCGGCCGTGTAAGTGCGCTCCGATGCGCGCCGGTCAATGGGTATCGTCCCTAAGGCTGATTTACACGTAAGTAGTTAAGTAGGTAAATCAGCCTTTAATATCATAAAAATATCCTACAAAACCATGCAATGTGGTCTCCAAAATTGAAATATAGAAACTCACCTTTATCTTCCTCGGATCTAAATTGGCGCCCAAAGTCTGCACGCCTTTAGCGAGTTTCGACAGTGGGGATAGTACCATCTCTCTAGTCGCGCTAGAAACAGGACTGGCGATGTTTTTCAGCTGTCTAATCGCTGACTCGCTGTGCGACTGAGCTATGTTCAGCGTGATCTCATGCTGAGAATTCGACCTGACATGGAAATTGACCCCTTCTGGCGGATCCTCGTAGTTAATATCATTCGAACTGTGGGATAATTTTTGCGATAGCAATAGCGTGTTAGGGGGCGCTGGCTTATACGATTCACTTTCCACTTGGATTTCGGGGGTTGTACCCATTTCTGTGTCGAAAGGGTTGAATTTGTTGACGTTGCTTGGGGTTTTGATGTTTTGTTTCTCGATGGTGGTGGGGACGAGTTGGGTAGGGTCAAAAACTGCCTCTTTCTCTTGCGGCTCTATTTTGGAAGAGTAGAGAGGGTTCTCGATTAATTCGCAATCGTTTTCCGGTTCTGTTACTTGGGGTTGGCTTGTTGATGTTACTTTACCTGTTGAAAAAAAGATGGTTAAAAATAAAAAACTTGAAAAAATCGAAATTGAAAAAGGCGGGAATCATACCCACGACCTTTCACTTGACTCTAATCACTAAAAAAATTTAAATACATGAGAATGTTAAATATTGAATGGGAGACTAATATAAGACGCTTTTGGATTGAAAAATTGACATGCACTATGTGTTACTTTCCCGACTGCTTACTTTAAAGTCAAGCGGTGGATGCTACGCACCTAGCGGGGTAAATAGGCAAGTAACACTTCATACACATTTATTTTATTAAGTTAGTTTTTTTAGAAATACGATAGTATGATCGGCATTAATATTGTAGTATCTTGCGTACTCGTGATAGGTGCTGTATTGCAACAGATTAAAGGCCGATTCACACATATCAGTGAAGTCACAGTTCAGGCTCAGTAGGTACCGGCACAGTGCGAAATATTCTTTCATACAGTTTCTATGAACGCATCCCCACTTGTCAGTGTCAGTGACGACACAGTGCTCTCAGTGTCTGGCCGAAACCGGCAATCACGGACGTGTTCGTTGACGACGATATTTTTTGTCGAATCACTGACGCCGCCGCGGCATTAAAAACAAAATAACTTACTTCATAGTTTCTGAACAAGAATATTGAAACAGCTCTCTGACATTATAAAATATTCAAAATATTTCACTGACGCAACACTGTAGCGCTGATACTGAACTGAGCGGACACTGTGACGGAACTGTGGCTTCACTGATATGTTGAATCGAGCTTCACTTACCAATATAATGCTGACTGTTCTCAAAATTATCCAACGTGGGCTCAAAAATATTAGTCCTATTCTCATCGTCGGACGAATAATCACTGCTCATGCCATCAGACAGGCTTCCCTTCTTCTTGTCAGCTTTATTCTGGCCAAGAGTGAATATTTTCTTAGTTCTAGACGCTCCCTGATCGAACTTTAGCTGTAGGCTGGGACGTGCGCGCGCGTTCAGAGAGTGACTGAGTTTGTTAAGCTTGCTGAACTGCTCTGTCATGTTGTTGAAGGCTTTTGATCCTGGAATGGTTAGTATAACGTGTGAATTATGAATGAAAAGGTGATTTTTAACAGCGTCTATGTGGCTCAATCGAACCGTTTGATTAGTTCTTAAATAAAAGTATGTCTAACTAAATTAGGATATCCTATTATGTAGTAAAACTACAAATGAGGGCTATCGTATTTCTACTTATTAGTTGACACTAATGGCGACAGAACATAGCTCTACAGTGGCGCCATGTTGGAGAGTGCAAATGCGATAGTCTTCCTACCGCTTCAGCACTCACCAGTTGGCTATTGTTTTAGCTATTAGCGAGAGACAGGTGACGCTACAATGACTGGTCTTAAAATGTCAATTGACTAGGGTGTCTTGTTATGTACTGCAACTGCAAATGAGGGCTATCGTTTCTATAACTTACAGTTGGCACCACTGGCGAGTGACAGAACATTACAGTGGCGCCATGCTCGTGAGTGCAAGTGATAGTTCTCCTACCGCTTCAGCGCTCACCAGTTGGCGCCACTGTTTTAGCTATTAGCGAGTGACAGTAATTTACTCTACAGTGGCGCAACCCTGGTGAATGCATATGCGACAGTTCTACCGCTTGAGCGCTCATCAGTGGGCGCCAATATCTTACTGACAGGACCGTACAGTGGCGCCAATCATTGCCTTAATCTACAGATCTTGAAAAGTAAATCAATTAACTACAATATCCTCTGCCCTATAACATATTAAACTGCATATTGTCTACACTGACTAACAGTATGAGCGCGCGTCCAGCCGGTGATGTAGCGGCACTCCGTGTGCGCGCGCGGACTCAGGCGCATGATCTGGTCCAGCACCGCGCTGGTCGCCGACACGCGCGCCAGGGACGGGTCTGGAGGGATTGAGGAGGGAGAGGAATAGACAGAGGGTAATCTAGAGACTGTTAGAGCCACGCCTACTTCGTAAGCCACGCCTACTTCGAAAGCCACGCTTACTCTACTGATATTGGCTTGATTCAATACTGCGCTGGTGGCAGACACTCGCGCCAGGGAGGGATCTGGAGGAATTGAGGAGGGGAATAGGGTAGGTAATCTAGAGACTGTAAGAGCCACGCCTAGTTTGGAAGCCCTGCCTACTTCAAAAGCGACGTTTACTGTACTAATATTGGCTTGATTCAATACTGCGCTGGTCGCAGACACTCGCCCCAGGGAGGGATCTGGAGGGATTAGGAGGGGAATAGACAGAGGGCAATCCAGAGACTACTAGAGAGCTACTTCGTCTGCTTCGAAAATGCTGTTACTAGACGCTCCGCAATCTACCCTAAGAGCGTTAGGCTGGAATCAATCTTCTAGGAGCTCTGACTCAGAAAGAGAGAACTGAAAGACACGCCTACTTCGGAAGCCACGCCTCCTTATCTGATGTTTTATCTGTGATGTAATTTTTGTCTGTGGCTCCCGGACTGAGACTAAATAGACGCCGTTCAACATGTCTTGGTAGCTTTAGACTGACATTGAAAGATAACCAAAGACAACGGAAAGCTACTCCTACTTTAGGACGTCTCGCCTACTTGTCGGCTATTTTATTTATGGTGTAATTTCTGTCTATGGCTCGCGGACTTTCGGATCGGACGGATCTGGAGGGATGTTAGATTTAGGCCGACGTAGACATGTGGAGGCGATTCTAGGGGAAAGGGGGGGGGGTATGCTACTAGAGCCACGCCTACTTTCGAAGCCATTCTTTTAAAGCCTATTTCGCAAGTCACTCCTACTTCTCAGATGTTTTGTCTGTGGTGTAATTTATGTCCCTGACTTGCTTGTTGCAGACACTCGCGCCAGGAAAGGATCTGGAGAGATTAAGGAGGGGAACAGACAGATGTCAATCCAGAGACTGTAAGAGCCACGGCTACTTCGGAAGTCCTGTTAGTTATTTCACAACCAGAGACAACGGGAAGCCACGCCTACTTATCTGATGTTTTGTTTATGGTGTACCTTATGTATCCGGCTCGCAGACGCTCGCGACAGGAAGGGGTCTGGAGGGAGAATCCTGTTACTTTTGTAAAATAGACGGGACGAGACTGCTTCGAAAAATGGTACTACTAGAAGCTCCGCAATCTATCTTAAGAGCGTTAGGCTGGCATTGACAGACAGAGAGAACTGGAAGGCACGCCTATTTTGGAAGCCACGCCTACTCCTGTTTTGTCTGTAGTGTAATTTATGTCTCTGGCTCGCGGACTAAGTTAGTCACTAGAAGCACTTCAACTTGTCCTGGTAGCTATAGGCTGGCATTAACAGTTAACCAAAGAGAACGGAGATCCACGCCTATTTCAGAAGTCCTCCTACTTCTTTGACGCTCGCGGACTGAGTAAGTATGTCTCTGGAAGGGCTTAAACACGAGTTAAAAAATAAACCCTTATAGATAAATGTTAAACTTACCGACGCTGCGTATATCAGCCACCAGCTGCGTCTCGCTGACGTTCCTAGTCAGCGTGGGTAGTCGCGACAAGTCCAGATAGAGGGACGCTCTGCCTCCGCCAGATTGGCCTTGCGTTGGGTGCACCTAGTGGAATATAAAGATTCAAGCCTTTCATATCCGAGCAACAATAGAACCAAATAAGAAAACATTAATGTGTCATGAACTCACGTTTTTGATATTGATTTATAACTACAGCTTCTTAGAATAGGTAAGCGCAGAGGGTTCTTAATTACAGGAATCAACCAATCTTAGGGCTTCTCCAGTGGCGCTCCGAAAAGCATAGTCAAGTTTTTGTGGGTACAGTCAGAGTCAAATAGTTCGTGAGACCCAAAGTGACCAATAAGTTCGCAACACGTCTTTGTTGATTGTGGTATAAGGTTGTATTATCAACTAATTGATCACTTTGGGTATCACCACAGAATAATAATAAGTACTACGTACAGAAGTTTTACTTCGCGAAGGTATTTAAGAAAATGTATGCTCAATGTAATTAACAATATGGTGTAATTTAGCCTGTCTCAAGAGTCAAGCACCATTTTGTTGACAAACGTCAGTGATCGGCACTGCGCCGAAGCTATAGGGCTGACTTCGGTAAAATGATGTGACGTGAGGTGCCAAACTGCGGAAAATGGCGGAGGAAATACATGATTTAGCATGAATTATCATGAATAATATTAAGGCGATTAGAGTCCTCAATGACCTTGGGCGTTTGACCTTCACGCCGCGAGCAACACCCGCGTACCCCGCACCAAAAACTCCGATTTGACACCGATCAAAAATACACGGGCATAGGTAGATACAGAATAGAAGCTCTTTCTTCATACATTACTGCCTATTATTTTAAACTTAAATTGATGAACCTTGATGTCGGTGTCATTTAACTCAGGCGTAAAGGTATTTAATAAAAATAACAAAATCCATGAACATTTTGTACGGGATAAAATTTTATTTTATTTTTCGTAAATTTTTTAGAAATCAGCAGAAATGTCATCAAATATGGCCAACTGACATAAAAATATTTTTAGTCTGTGAACTAGTGATGCGACAAAACCTCTCGTTAATCGCGAAGTGAAATGTTGTAGTACTTGCGTATCATCGCCGGGTGATCGTCAAAATACTAAAAATATGCAACAAAGTCGCAACATTGAATGTGAACTGATCATGAAATTTTCGAGAACAGGAAACAAACTGTATGCACAGATGTAATCAAAAAGCACACTGGACAGTAAAACAATTAATGATATCCGTAAAGTTATTAAACTTCTGTTGCTTGCTGCGTGATTGGTGGATTTTGACATATCTGTCAATGTCATGTCAAAAATAACCAATCATGCAGCATTTGGACCTCGCGTCTACGTATTGCCATCTGGCGGATTTTTCAATCGCGAAAACCCTCATAGAAAGAAGTTTTTTATTTTCTTAAAAATAAACAATGGAACAATACGTAAGCATAATTGCATAAAAAAGTAAAATAATCTCGTTTAAACAAAACCGACTAAAAATTAAACTGACTCCGAAAAAGTAAACACTAAAAGTAGAAAAATAAATTTACGTTATAGCCTGACCAGGAACATAAAAACCCTGGCATAGAGGCGCGTCAATTGCATTTGATAGTGCAACACTGAGTACAGTCGTACCTGTGTTAAATTAATAGACTTACTTTATGTATCAGGATTCCGAATTACGGGCTAATTTGTTATTTTCATAAATTAACGAAAAAATATTATTATAGGTAACCTGGTTTAAATAAATTAAATGAAACCATCAAACGAGCTAGTACGATTTATTTTATTATTCATCAATAATCAAATTCAGAACTTGAATATTCAACTGCAATGTCTGCTCATGTACGCTTCAAACTCGGTACTTCTTTCCCAATTCCATAAAATTCAACACTTAGAAAGTGACAAAAATCTTTAAAATAGGTACGAGGGGCGGCTGAAAAGTTTTGAGCCTAGGGTATTAAAAATGCCGATAGAAAAGTACAAAAAATATATTTTTCTATTTAATCTCTCTCTACTACAACGGACTTCTTACATTTGTGTAAAAGAGCTTTTAACCCACTGAAAAAAAATTCGCAATGTTTGCCTTCGAAATGAGCCTTTAACGCCGCCTTCATTTCTTTGTCACTCAAAAATCTTCGTACCTGGAGGTATTTTTTCCAATTTGAGAATTAGACAAAATAGCTAGGGATTTGGACTAAACTGTGTGGTGGGTGATTAATTTCTTGAAATCCTGTTTTACCCGGGGCAAGCCTTGCAACTTGCGCGGTGTGCGCGGGCGAATTGTCTTGCAATAACAGATTTCCTTTCGCTAGTTTGCCTCTTAATATTTCAACAACCACTTGACGCACTCTTATCAACAGTACAGCATAATAATCTCCGTTTATTGTAGTTTTTTTAAGTAGGTAGTCAATGAATAAAATTCCTCCACAATCCCAAAAATAGTGGATATGAGCTTGGGTGTCGATCGCTCCACTTTGAATTTCCACGGCGGCGTTTTCCCTTTTGAATCCATTGCATTGACTCTTGTTTTGACTCTAGATCGTACTGCCGGATCTATTATTTATCAATAGTAACAATGTGAGAAAAAAAATTGTTAGGATTATGGCCAAAGATGGCCTAAAACTCCTGCGAAGTTGTGACTCGACGCTAGTTGTTGAGCGGCGTGAGCATTTTTGGCACCCATCGCGTGCACCCCTTTTTCATTTGCAAATGAGTATGAAAAATATCGCCGATACGTTCCNGATTTTTGATTTTACAGAGGGTAATCTGGAGATTGTAAGAGCAACGCCTACTTCGTAAGCCACGCCTGTTTCGTAAGCCGCGCCTGCTTCGAAAAATGTTGTGGCTATAAGCACTGCAATCTCTTTAACCAACTCCTACTCTTCCCGCGGGTGCCGTAAGAGGCGACTTAGGGACTAAACAGAGAACATCAATCTTTTAAACTGCGATCTCCAACCCGCCTGCCAAGCGTGGGGATTGTGGCAAAACCCTTTACTATAGTAGAGGAGGCTCATAGTCCAGAAGTGGCCTGTAAAGGGCTGATGATGATGATGATGATGATGAATATCTTTAAAGGCTCTGACTCATAAAGAGAGAACTGAAAGGCACGCCTACTTCGGAAGTCACGCCTCCTTATCTGATGTTTTGTCCGTGATGTCATTTATGTCTCTGGTATGTAACTTAAAATAAAATGTAAGTCACACTTTTAAGTCACGCCTCTTGTGAATGCCACGCCTACTTCTGAACACTCGCGCCAGGAAGGGATCAGAAGGGTTTACAAAGAAGACGAATAGATAGAGGGCAATCCAGAAGCTATAAGAGCCACGTTTTCTTCGAAACAAGGCTGTCACTAGAAGTTGTGCAATGTATCCTGCGATCTTTAGGCTGGTCTGTTGTTCAATGAGTGCAGTATGAGCGCGCGTGCAGCCGGTGACGTGGCGGCACTCCGTGTGCGCGCGCGGACTCAGGCGCATGATCTGCTGCAGCACCGCGCTGGTCGCCGACACGCGCGCCAGGGACGGGTCTGGAGGGAGGATCCTGTTAGCTTTATAAAGGAGAGGAATAGGGATTGTAAAGGAGGAATAGACAGAATCCAGAGACTGTAAGAGCCACGCTAGTAGATAGAGGGAGATGAATAGAGCCACGCCTACTTCCTAAGCCACGACTGCTTCGAAAAATGCTGTGACTATAAGCACTGCAATCTCTTTAAGAACTCCGATTTAGAAAGAGAGAACTGAAAGGCACGCCTACTTTCGGAAGCCACGCCTCCTTATCTGATGTTATGTCCGTGATGTCATTTATATCTCTAGTATGCAGGCAGAGTCTGTGACTAGAAACCCTTCAACCTGTCCTAGTAACTTAAAATAAAATGTAAGCCACACTTTTAAGTCACGCCTCTTGTGAATGCCACGCCTACTTCTGAACACTCGCGCCAGGAAGGGATCAGGAGGGTTTACAAAGAAGACGAATAGATAGAGGGCAATCCAGAGGCTATAAGAGCCACGCCTTATTCGAAACAAGGCTGTCACTAGAAGTTGTGCAATGTATCCTGCGATCTTTAGGCTGGTCTGTTGTTCAATGAGTGCAGTATGAGCGCGCGTGCAGCCGGTGACGTGGCGGCACTCCGTGTGCGCGCGCGGACTCAGGCGCATGATCTGCGCCAGCACCGCGCTGGTCGCCGACACGCGCGCCAGGGACGGGTCTGGAGGGATTGAGGAGGGAGAGGAATAGATAGAGGGTAATCTAGAGACTGTTAGAGCCACGCCTACTTCGTAAGCCACGCCTACTTCGAAAGCCACGCTTACTCTACTGATATTGGCTTGATTCAATACTGCGCTGGTGGCAGACACTCGCGCCAGGGAGGGATCTGGAGGGATTGAGGAGGGGAATAGATAGAGGGTAATCTAGAGACTGTAAGAGCCACGCCTAGTTTGGAAGCCACGCCTGCTTCGAAAGCGACGCTTATTCTACTGATATTGGCTTGATTCAATACTGCGCTGGTCGCAGACATTCGCGCCAGGAAGGGATCTGGAGGGATGCAAAGGAGAGAGATAGAGGGCAATTCAGAGACTGTAAGAGCCACGCCTACTTCGTAAGCCACACCTACTTCGAAAAATGCTATTACTAGAAGCATCGCAATCTATTCTAGGAGCTTTATTTAGGCTGGCATTAAATGACAGAAAGAACTGGAAGACACGCCTACTTTGAAAGCCACGCCTGCTTCGAAAAATGCTGTTACTAGAAGCTTCGCAATATATTCTAGGAGCTTTATTTAGGCTGGCATTAAGTGGCAGAAAGAAATAGAAGACACGCCTACTTTGGAAGCCACGCCTGTTAAGACTGTAATATCTTTAAGACTAACATTGACTAATAGAGAGAACTGGAACGCACGCCTACTTCGCAAGTCACGCCACCTTATCTGATGTTTTGTATCTGATATCATTTATATCTCTGGCACGTAGATGGATTCTGTATCTGAAAGCGCTACAACAAGAATTTTCCACTATATCTAAACTGAGAAAGACAATGAATCTAGTAAAGTGTGTATCGTTCAATGAGTGCAGTATGAGCGCGCGTGCAGCCGGTGACGTGGCGGCACTCCGTGTGCGCGCGCGGACTCAGGCGCATGATTTGCTGCAGCACTGCGCTGGTCGCCGACGCGCGCGCCAGGGACGGGTCTGGAGGTATTAAGGAGGGGAATAGGGTACTCTAGAGACTGTAAGAGCCACGCCTAGTTCGGAAGCCCTGCCTACTTCAAAAGCGACGCTTACTCTACTGATATTGCCATGCGCTTGGTTCAATAATGCGCTGGTCGCGGACTACTTCGGAAATCACGCCTACCTTTCTTACGTGTTGTCTTCTCTGATCCTATAACTAAAGACACCATGCATACTTTTGGAGCGACTACATTCGAAGCCATTTCTATTTGAAAAGTAATGCCTACTTCGGAAGCCACGCCTACTTCTCTGTTTTATCTGTGGAGAAATTTATGTCTCGCAGACTGATTATGTCACTAGAAGTCTTTTAATTTGTCCTATTAGCTTTAGGCTGGCATTGACAGTAAACCAGAGACGATAACTACGTTAATTTCAGAACCCACGCCTCTTTATGTTTTGTCTGTGGCATAAATTATATCAATCGCTTGCGGACTGAGTCTCTGTCTGGAAGTTCAACATGAGTTCTTCAAACTTTATTCTAGTTTAGAGATGATCTAACGATGTTGAACCTAATTAAGTACGCTAGTTCAATGAGTGCAGTATGAGAGCGCGTCCAGCGCGTGGAAGCCACGCCTACTTTGAAAGCCACGCCTTCTTATCTGATGTTTGAATTCTGTTTCTGGAAGAATTTCAACATGAGTTTATCACACTTTACTCTAGTTCATGACTGAACTAACGACGATGCATCAAGTAAAGTGTGTGTAGTTCAATGAGTGCAGTATGAGCGCGCGTCCAGCCGGTGATGTAGCGGCACTCCGTGTGCGCGCGCGGACTCAGGCGCATGATCTGCTGCAGCACCGCGCTGGTCGCCGACACGCGCGCCAGGGACGGGTCTGGAGGGATTGAGGAGGGAGAGGAATAGACAGAGGGTAATCTGGAGACTGTAAGAGCAACACCTACTTCGTAAGCCACGCCTGTTTCGTAAGCCGCGCCTGCTTCGAAAAATGCTGTGACTATAAGCACCGCAATCTCTTTAACCAACTCCTACTCTTCCCGCGGGTGCCGTAAGAGGCGACTTAGGGACTAAACAGAGAACATCAATCTTTTAAACTGCGATCTCCAACCCGCCTGCCAAGCGTGGGGATTATGGCAAAACCCTCTACTATAGTAGAGGAGGCTCATAGTCCAGAAGTGGCCTGTAAAGGGCTGATGATGATGATGATGATGAATCTCTTTAAAGGCACTTCGGAAGTCACGCCTCCTTATCTGATGTTTTGTCCGTGATGTCATTTATGTCTCTGGTATGTAACTTAAAATAAAATGTAAGTCACACTTTTAAGTCACGCCTCTTGTGAATGCCACGCCTACTTCTGAACACTCGCGCCAGGAAGGGATCAGGAGGGTTTACAAAGAAGACGAATAGATAGAGGGCAATCCAGAAGCTATAAGAGCCACGCTTTCTTCGAAACAAGGCTGTCACTAGAAGTTGTGCAATGTATCCTACGATCTTTAGGCTGGTCTGTTGTTCAATGAGTGCAGTATGAGCGCGCGTGCAGCCGGTGACGTGGCGGCACTCCGTGTGCGCGCGCGGACTCAGGCGCATGATCTGCGCCAGCACCGCGCTGGTCGCCGACACGCGCGCCAGGGACGGGTCTGGAGGGATGCTAGGTTTAGGTCGACTTATGCCTGTTTTCACCATCAATCCCTAATTTTTAAGTGACCCCTATGGTAAACACATAACAGGAATTTTGTTTTCATAGGGTTCACTTAAAAATTAGAAATTAATGGTGAAAACGGGCATTAGACATGTGGAGGGGATTCTAGGGGAAAGGGGGGGGGGGGGAGAGAGTGCTTACGCTACTTAAGCCACGCCTACTTTCGAAGCCATTCCTATTTTAAAAGACTACTTCTCAGATGTTTTGTATGTGGTGTAATTTATGTCCCTGACTTACTTGTTTTACACTTGCGCCAGGAAGGGATCTGGAGGAATTGAGGAGGGGAATAGGGTAATCTAGAGACTGTAAGAGCCACGCCTAGTTTGGAAGCCCTGCCTACTTCAAAAGCGATGCTTACTGTACTGATATTGGCTTGATTCAATACTGCGCTGGTCGCAGACACTCGCGCCAGGGAGGGGTCTGGAGGGATTGAGGAGGGGAATAGATAGAGGGTAATCTAGAGACTGTAAGAGCCTAACAGCCACGCCTACTTTGGAAGCCCTGCCTACTTCAAAAGCCACGCTTACTTCACTGATATTGCCATGCGCTTGGTTCAATAATGCCCTTGGCGCAGACTACTTCGGAAGTCACGCCTACTTTTCTTACGTGTTGTCTTCTCTGATCCTATAACTAAAGACACCATGCATACTTTTGAAGCGACTACTTTCGAAGCCATTCCTATTTGATAAGTAAAGTCTACTTCGGAAGCCACGCCTGCTTGTGTTTTATCTATAGAGAAATGTATGTCTCGCAGACTAATTATGTCACTAGAAGTCCTTCAGTTTGTCCTATTAGCTTTGTCTAGCACCGCGATGGTCGCGGACACTTGCGATAGGAAGGGATCTGAAGGGATGGTACTGTTAGTTTTCTAAAGGAGAGGAATACACGAGTAAAACTGATACCGTAAGAGAAAAATGCTGTGACTAGACGCTCTGAAATCTATTCTAGGAACTTTAGGCTGTCATTGGCTGTTAACCAAAGAGAACGAAAACTACGCCCACTTAGAAAGCCACACCTACTTTTTAGATAATGCTTCAGACGCTACGCCTACTTTTGATGCTTTGTCTTTGGTGTTATTTATGCCCCGGGATCGGAGACTGAGTATGTATCTGAAAGTGCTTCAACACGAATTAAAATCCTTAAAATCCTGAAGTGTTGAAATTGATATTTTAACTCATGTTGAACGTTAAAATCGACAAGAAAGTAAGTAACCTCTTAAGATACATGTTAAACTTACCGACGCTGCGTATATCAGCCACCAGCTGCGTCTCGCTGACGTTCCTAGTCAGCGTGGGTAGTCGCGACAAGTCTAAGTAGAGGGAAGCCCTGCCTCCACCAGATTGGCCTTGCGTTGGGTGTACCTGGTGGAAAGAAGGGATATAAGAGATAAAACTTTTTAATAAAAAAAATCATGATTAAGATAAATGTTTAGTGATGTATCATTAATGTCTTATAACTTAGTTTTTGAGATTGATTTATAGCTGCATCTTTTCCTAACAGAGGGTTTTTAACCTCAAGAGTCTACCTAAGGACCGGTTTCCACTATGCGGAGCGGAGCGGAGAAATTTTTTGAATAACCAATCTGATTTCATTCTATCTAAATGACGGTCCGCTCCGCTTGGGGCTTTTCTAATGGCACTTCGGAGGGCAAAGTCAAGTTTTTGTGGGTACCACACTGTCGCAGCCTTTGTTTAGTTTAAGGAGGGTAACCTAGAATAGACTAACTACTATTGCAGCGTTTGTTTGGTTTAAGGAGGATAAATCGGAATAAAAACGATGCTGATGACAAATATCACAAGAGTTGGTACCTCATTGTACAATTGGTTGGTACCTCGTTATAGACAAGAGAGAACATTTTTTTGTTGTAAAATGGCACTTATTACAACTACAGGATGCTTTACTTTTGACTTTTTCCTTTCCAGCTTGACTCCATCGTTGAAGGGGATGGACGGCAGTTTGGCGACGTCACGTGCCACCAGTAACGATTCACAGATAGAGTGCAGCGATTCTGGAACATTAGATACGTAATTTATAGTTGCGTTGCAAAACTATCAATAATATGTTAGATATTACGATTGAAAATGGATATAAGTGTGAAATGAGATAGAAACCTTGCTATTTAATCGCCAAAATAGGTAAACGCTGTATTTGTAGTTGTTAAACCATTATTATTAGTCCTCCAGAGACTTGGCCCACTTTAATCATGGTCCACGGGCCAAGTCGCTGGATTGGATTTTTAAATAGTTTTTCATGCAGTGACTGGGCCACGGTAAAACTATCTATACAGTATTCCAACTCGGCCATATTTTTGAAATAAATGTCAACAGCCCCGCGGTACGTCACGGTATGACAACATGCGATAGGGCTGCTCACCTACAGTACCCATTCTAATTACATCTGTCTACTTAGAATTTCTATTTAGTTTTGTGATTGGCATTTTTTTTATTTAGACAAAATACTTTGGGAATGGAATAGGATAAAAATGCGTGTTGTTTTGTGATTAGTAGATTTAATTTAAAAAAAATATACTAAAATAATTTTGTATCTAGGTAAGTACTAATCACAGCGGAACAAAAAAAAATAAAAAAATATACTAAAATAATTTTGTATCTAGGTAAGTACTAATCACAGCGGAACAAAAAAAAATAAAAAATCTGCGGAATCTATTTTGTTAATGGTTTTTGTAAACACTTGCATTAGACATAAATGGTGTGCATTTACTTTCTTTGGATTGACTCTGGTTCTTGAGATAAACGAGACGCAAGAAATCAATGAAAAAAATTAAACAACCCTCCCTAAACTTAAATTAATTTGATTATAACCCCAACAGTTTTTGTTAATATTTGGCTTGTAAACATACAAAAGCAAAGAAATAAGATCACGGAGGTAGTGATAAAAACTTACCAAGCATACTTTGGTATAAAACTTCCATAAAATAATAAATATTGGGGGCTATAAAATAATAAATATCGTCTGCAAACCTTGTGTAGACTCTTTGCCATACTGAAGTCAAGCTGGACGTAAACGACTTCAATTTGGAAGGCCAAAGATATGAAGTGAGCTTTCTAATCACTAAAATTATCAAAAGTCAGCCAAATTAAAGTCCTTTACGTCCTGAAACGTCCGTTTGAATACGGAAAAAATAAATTCGATTGGCTGCAAATCCGTACTCTTATAAAATACACTGTATTTGTGAACCACATAACACAAATTGAATCTGAAGCATGGCTAAGCTTTGTTTAAGTAGTCAAACAATATTTGACACCAGACTTTTCAGAATTGGTTGCTAAATTGTTTTAAAAATTTTACACATAAGGAGCTAATTTGAGTTTTTTTTTTACAATAGCCATTTGGTAGCTTATTAACTCAGTGTAATTGAGAACACATTTCATCAAAAGTAGTTTGAAAAGTCTCGAACAGATGAAAAGACTCGATAAAGAGAGGACACTAACAAAATTTATAGGGTTACTAGCTTTCCGCCCGCGGCTTCGCCCGCGTGGAATTTTGTCTGTCACAGAAAAACTTTATCGCGCGCGTCCCTGTTTCAAAAACCGGGATAAAAACTATCCTATGTTCTTTCCCGGGACTCAAACTATCTCTATGCCAAAGGATGATGGGCACTTTTCTATGGAATCTGGGCGTAAAACCAACAGAAATGTAATTACTATTATTTGTTAGGACTTAGTATCAGAAATATATTTTCATATAAATAACTACCAAAAACTCCCGGGTTTGCTTGGAATTTGACTTAATGTGTAATAGTAATAGGTGTTTTATTGCGCAAACAAAAAATATTATTAATTAAGGTATCTACATTTATACATTAAGTTATTTATCAATTATTATGCCCAACAGTTCAGGAGTGGGGCCAATAAAATGGTATATAATATACCATGTTCTACATTATGAGCGTAGGACCATACCTAGGTACCATTTAGAGAAATGTCATGAACACAGTCATATTTCAATGGGATTTCTACCATTTAAGTTGTAGTGTTGTCGCATAATCGATCATGAATCGATTATTAATCGATATTGCCAAATAATGATTTATCGATTAACAATTCGATTAATCGATTTTATTGATCATCATCACTATCATTTGATTGTTAATCCGACGCCTTATTTTCAGCAATATAATCGATTATTGCAATCGAATAATCGATTATAATTTATTCGGTATACATACTTACTAAATCGATAGAATCGATAGTAAGATATGATACAATACTCTCAATATTATCGATGCAAACAATCTAATTGACCTAATACTATTTTATTACCCTAAATGTGATGTGAAATACTATGGAAACTTTGCATATTCAACGACCTCCGTATCCCCGCGTATTTCAGGATTGTTGTCATACTATGAAATGAAGTACTAGTATTAAGCTTTAATTTAGTATACTTTTTGTTTCTGTTGGTTTAACGCCCAATATGCCCATCATCCTTTCATCAAAATCGGTTGCGAGGTTTAAGCGGGAAAGCGTAACAGACAGACAGACAGACAGACAGAGTTACTTTCGCATTTATAATATTAGTTGGGATAGTTGGGATTTATTGTATAAAAAAAAAACAGTTTATTTTAGAAAAATGTATTTAATTTTACATTACTTAGTAAAACTACCTTATTCTAAAAATATAAATCAATCAATCACACAATAAGACCACATTAACAACGAATATGGTGGATTTCAACGTCTTAGAAAACTAATTTGTCAGTCTAACACCATCAATACTTGCAGTAAATTGCAGATATTCCACAGGTTGACACAACAAAACAAAATGACAAATGGCAATGCCAGATTTTGTATGGAAGGTGGCGTCTTTTTTTTTTTCGCGCGGCCATTGACCAAACTTTGTTTTTTAATTACATAATAGTGTAATAAACCAAACTTACTATGACATGTATACCTTAAACTCAGTCTGAATTGAGTTACGAGCGTTAAAAGTTTGATGATTTACATACTAGATTTGCTTTTTGCGCGCAAGTTTTGTGAGAAATTGCAACAAAATATTCCGCTATTTTTTTATTGCGCTGATTCTACTCCACACTGATGTCTGGAGCCTTTAATGGATGGTATTGTTTGTTTACACATACAATGTCACTATTTTGTTGCAATTTCATCCAAAACTTGCGCGCAAAAAGCAAATCTAGTATGTAAATCATCAAACTTCTAACGCTCGTAACTCAGTTCAGACTGAGTTTAGAGGTATACATGTCATAGTAAGTTTGGTTTATTACACTATTTTGTAATCAAAGAACAAGATTTGGTCGATGGCCGCGCGAAAAAGAAGACGCCAATATCCATTCCTGAGAACACAACTTCATCTATTACTAATATTATAAAGCTGAGAAGTTTGTTTGTTTGTTTGTTTACTTGAACGCGCTAATCTCAGGAACTATCGGTCCGATTTGAAAATTTCTTTCAGTGTTAGATAGCCCATTTATTGAGGATATAGCCCATTTATTGAGATATAGCCTATACCATCACGCTACGAGTAAAAGGTGCAGAGCAAAAATGAAAAATGTTGCGAAAACGGGTTTTCACGCGTACGAAGTCGCGGGTAGAGCTATTTTTTAATAATCTGACAGGAGTGATCTTAAAGTATAATCAAATTAATTACCATTAAAACTATAATAACAATATATTTTAACTAAGTCAAATCCAGTATTCAAGATATTTTAACAAAATAACACAAATAGTAGACCCGACTGTGTTAATTACCATTGAATGTGGTATTTTTCAAACATAACGTGGTATTTTTTTAGCATAGTACAGAACACAATTTCACACACTTTCACTATTAGTTCATAGGAGGTCCATTCATTAGAGGTGGTCTCATCTGACCCATAGGTCCCATGGGGCCCATCGGCCCCATCATAGGTCCCATCATTGGTCTCATTCCCATCATTGGCGGCATAGGTCCATGAGGCCCCATCATTATCGGCGGAGCCATCGGTCCTCCTAGGCCCATAGCAGGCGGTGGTAACATGCCCGGTGGGCCTCCCGGCGCAGGAACAGGCGGCTTGGGACCACCAGGACCCATCACAGAAGGATCCCAAGGTGGAGGTATAGCTGCTCCATTAGTTCCGAACGGGTTTTGAGCAATTTTGCCCGCTTTGAACGCTGCTGTGGTAGCGTCGATGAGATGTTGTGCTTGCTCCTCCATCCACTTTTGATAGTAAAACTTCACGTTATCTTTATGTTTTCTTCCTGTACAATGAGTTTTTCTAACGCTAGGTGAATCGTGCGTTAGATATGTGTCACAATAATCACAATAGTACTTTGGCATTTTTAATTTACAATCCTAGAATTTCACGAAAATGCTTGAAAACACGTTCTTGATGATTCGCTTGCCGCACACGAGCACAGATTAGAAAGTATGTGCACACAAGAGAAGACAGTGAGCGACTGAGACTGTGACACACAGTGACAGATGAAAGTGTGTTTTTATCTGTGGTATTTATTGTGGTGTTTTATGATTATGTTGGCAATAGTGGTCCATACTACATACAACCTTTATTTCATTGAGAATGAGCACTCGGCATCCAAAATGGCAAAATTGTAAAAATACTCTAGCCACGGTAATACTATCTATACAGTATTCCAACTCGGCCATATTTTTGAATTAAATGTCAACAACCGCGCGGTACGTCACGGTATGACAACATGCGATAGGGCTGCTCACCTACAGTACACATTCTAATTACTTAAAATTTCTATCTAGTTTTGTGATTGTAATTTTTTTTATTTAGACAAACAAAATACTCTGTGAATGGAATAGGATAAAAATGCGCGTTGTTTTGTGATTAGTACCTAGATTTAATTTAAAAAAGCTACTAAAATAATTTAGAATCTTTACTAATCATGATGAGTACTTAATGACCTGTTACTTTAATTTCAGGCGGGCGAAGTCGTGGGCAAAAGCTGGTTTTATACAATATAATTTTCATTTCAAATCAAACTGACTGAAAATTACCATTTTTGGCAGTTAATGACTAGTTTTTGCTCAATTTGACCGTAAATGACGGTCAGTCAAATTCGATCACTTTAGTCATTTTCAACACTAGGCCACCGACGTCCGTTCGGCACATTCGCGACACCCCCGACTTTTGCATCTCGAGTGCGTCCCGAGATTTGAAATTCGAAGGAAAGCTCGCGGTTCGTCTGTTTATATGAAGTTACAATACTGTATGATATTATTACCGTGACTGGGCCTACCTTCAATGTTTTATTACAAAATAAACACCTAATCAACAAACATCTACTCTAGAATCTTAGATATGGGCCCAGAAGAAAAACTATTTGAAAATTCAAACCAGCGACTTTGCCCGTGGACCAAGCTAAAACTGGGCCAAGTCACTGGAAGACTCATCATTATTACCACTCTCCTTCTTTTGTTACTACATGTTCTATGAGACAGCAATCATGTTGACCACGCCCACTTTTGATTTGACAAGCGTTACAGTTGTTGCAATCACGAAGGTGGGTAAGCTTTACATGTGTGGTGGCTCGCTACTGTTTGTTTTTCAAAAGTTTTGACCGACATTACACTATCGTTATGTGCATGTACACGTACACACACAAGTAAAGCTCACTCGCCTTCATGAGTTGCAAGTACTATAACGTAAAATTTAACTGTCGTACTCACCAACCATCTCGTCTTTGGTATTGATAACGACCGCCATATTGTTGAAGAACCTCAGCGATGTAGATCGGAACATGTGGAAGTATCCCGCCTCGTTGTTGTGGGAATAGTGGAACCTGATGCACACAACAGGCTCGCCTGACGACTTGCGACCGACGCCGAAGAGCTGTGAGAAAATGGACCTTATTATAATGGAGTAGAGACTATAGTTAATAATTTAGAATTGTACAAGGCAACGCCGAAGAGCTAAGGGAGAAAGAACCTTATTATAATAGAGTAGTGTCTAATATCGAATTGAGGAAGGAACATGTGGAAGTATCCCGCCTCGTTGTTGTGGGAGTAGTGGAACCTGATGCACACAACAGGCTCGCCTGACGACTTGCGACCGACGCCGAAGAGCTGTGAGAAAAAAGACTTTATTGTAATGGAGTAAAGTCTACAATTGCAAACCGTGTGGTGACGGCAGAGTAGAATACATTTGCCACCAAACCCTACTCTTCCTGAGGGTGTCGTAAGAGGCGACTTGGGGACTACACATCAAACAGAGAACGGGCAGCAGCGCTCTCTGAAAAACATCAATCTTTTGAACTGCGATCTCCAACCAGGAAGGGATGTCTCATCATAGTCTGCCACGTAGTACGCGTCTTTCGTCAATATTCATAGCCCCCACTCGATGGACGGACGATCTAGTGAAGGTATCCAGTCCACCGAGTGACTGGCATTTCGCTGTCGTTCTACTTACAGTGGAGGAGCTAGTATCAAGCGTCCCGAGTTCCACACAAGTGACCGACGCCAGCGGGACTCGTTGGACCGACAGCAGGCGGTCTGATGTCTCGTCATAGTCCGCCACGTAGTACGCGTTGCTTGTCAATATTCATAGCCCCCATTCGATGGACGGACGATCTAGTGAAGGTCGCCAGTCCACCTAGTAATTGTTTATTAATTCGCTGTCATCCAGGCGCTTTACGAGATCGTCAGTCCACCAAATGGTGGTCATTATTTGTACGATGTCATTCAACTTACAGTGGAGGAACTAGTATCAAGCGTCCCGAGTTCCACACAAGTGACCGACGCCAGCGGGACTCGTTGGACCGACAGCAGGCGGTCTGAAGTCTCGTCATAGTCGGCTACGTAGTACGCGTCACTCGTCAATATTCATAGCCCCTACTCGATGGACGGACGATCTAGTGAAGGTATCCAGTCCACCGAGTGACTGGCAATACGCTGTCGTTCTACTTACAGTGGACGAGCTAGTATCAAGCGTCCCGAGCTCCACACAAGTGACCGACGCCAGCGGGACTCGTTGGACCGACAGCAGGCGGTCTGAAGTCTCGTCATAGTCCGCCACGTAGTACGCGTCACTTGCCCCCACTCGATGGACCGACGATCTAGTGAAGGTCGCCTAGTCTACCTAGTGATTGTTAATATTAACTCGCTGTCATTTTACTTACAGTCAAGTTACAGTGGAGTACGCAACGCTCGTCTATATTCATCATCATTCGTTCGTTCGTTCGTTTCAGCCAAATGACGTCCACTGCTGGACAAAGGCCTCCCCCAAGGTTTTCCACAATGAACGGTCCTGCGCTGCCCGCATCCAGGCTCTTCCCGCGACCTTCACCAGATCGTCGGTCCACCTAGTAGGAGGCCTGCCCACGCTACGTCTTCCAGCCCGTGGTCGCCACTCGAGAACTTTTCTGCCCCAACGGCCATCGTCTCTACGAGCTATGTGCCCCGCCCACTGCCACTTGATTTTAGCAATTCTGCGAGCTATGTCAGTTACTTTGGTTCTCCTGCGGATCTCCTTATTTCTGATTCGATCACGCAGGGAGACTCCGAGCATAGCCCGCTCCATCGCCCTTTGGGTGACCTTGAGCCTTCTTATGAGGCCCATAGTAAGCGACCACGTCTCAGATCCGTATACCATCACTGGCAACACGTCATCATCATTACTTCAGACGAATGATGCTGGACAAAGGCTTCCCTCAAGGATATCCACAACGACCGGTCCTGCATACAGGTGCTTCCCGCTACATTTACCAGTTCGTCAGTCCACCGAGTGACTGTCAATATGTCGTTCTACTTACAGTGGAAGAGCTAGTATCAAGCGTCCCAAGTTCTACACAGGTGACCGACGCCAGTGGGACTCGTTGGACGGACAGCAGGCGGTCTGAAGTCTCGTCATAGTCCGCCACGTAGTATGCGTCGCTTGTCAGTATTAACACGCTGTCCATTTCTGTCTCGTGTGGGTCGCCGGTGCTGTAAAGAAAATAAGATGAATTGGAAAAAAATACAATAAACAGAAAAATATTTACAGTAAAATGACTAACCAATCTTTGAATCTAAGGCTAGGTTTCACCATCTTACTTTAACTTTAACAAACGTCAAAAATCTGTCAGACTGCGTACAAAAAACACCGGTTATCGTTATAGTTACGATCCGGGAAGCATGGTCGATCTGTTTTAATGGTTTTAATTTATTATTTAATGGACTTTAGTGTACAAATTTGGTGTTATTTTGTGTTCTAAAGTGCAGTGAAGTGATAAATTATAAAAAACATTGAAATACTTCGAATTTGAGCGCGCATCGAGTGTCGAGTGGGTTGTCGTATGAACAACCCGCTTTGGACCCGGTGGCGTCTCGAAACCTGCTTACGGGCATACTTAACTCCACGGAATCCATGAAAAATCGATAGAACTGAAACACCCACGTTCTATTGATAACTATGTCAATATTTTTCACTCGACATTGGCAGAAATAAACCTCCCAGAGAGGTTTGGTTGCCACAAATAAAAAAATAAAAAAATTAGTTACGATCAAAGTTAGGTGGTGCAACTCAGCCTAATGAAAATAAAATGTCAAGTTTGAATTATCAACTTCACTTTTAACCACGCGTTTGCAAAACTTACAAGTTCATTGTCGTTAATAAGGGGCCATCCATAAAGTACGTCACACGAATTTTATGATTTTTTGACCCCTCCCCCGTCCTTGTCACAGGTGGTCACATTTCTGAAACCCCCCCCCTCCCTAGTGTGACGTCACATGTTTTGCAATTTCACATCGAAAAATTATTAAATTAACAAAAAAATTGCAACAAATAGAAACAATAAAATCACGCGCGAGGTACGGTCAGNACCTAATCTACAAACATCTACTTTAGAATCTTAGATGAGGGCCCAGAAGAACAACTATTTAAAAATTCAAACCAGCGACTTTGCCCGTGGACCAAGCTAAAACTGGGCCAAGTCACTGGAAGACTCATCATTATTACCACTCTCCTTCTTTTGTTACTACATGTTCTATGAGACAGCAATCATGTTGACCACGCCCACTTTTGATTTGACAATTAATTATAGTTGTTGCAATTCACAAAGGTGGGTAAGCTTTACATGTGTGGTGGCTCGCTACTGTTTGTTTTTCAAAAGTTTTGACCGACATTACACTATCGTTATGTGCATGTACACGTACACACAAGTAAAGCTCACTCGCCTTCGTGAGTCGCAAGAATTATAACGTAAAATTCAACTGTCGTACTCACCAACCATCTCGTCTTTGGTATTGATAACGACCGCCATATTGTTGAAGAACCTCAGCGATGTAGATCGGAACATGTGGAAGTATCCCGCCTCGTTGTTATGGGAGTAGTGGAACCTGATGCATACAACAGGCTCGCCTGACGACTTGCGACCGACGCCGAAGAGCTGCGAGAAAATAGACCTTATTATAATGGAGTAAAGTCTACAATTTCAAGCCGTGTGGTGACGGCAGAGTAGAATACATTTGTCACCAACCCCTACTCTTCCCGCGGGTGTCGTAAGAGGCGACTTAGGGACTACACAACAAACAGAGAACGGGCAGCAGCGCTCTCTGAAAAACATCAATCTTTTGAACTGCGATCTCCAACCAAGCAGGGATCTCATCATAGTCTGCCACGTAGTACGCGTCTTTCGCCAATATTCATAGCCCCCACTCGATGGACGGACGATCTAGTGAAGGTTGCCAGTCCACCTAGTGATTGTTTATTAACTCGCTGTCATTTTACTTACATTGGAGTACGCAACACTCGTCTATATTTAGTTATTTACCATCATTACTTCAGCCAAATGACGTCCACTGCTGGACAAAGGCCTCCCCCAAGGATTTCCACAAGGACCGGTCCTGCACTGCCCGCATCCAGACGCTTTACGAGATCATCAGTGCACCAAATATTTATCAATATTTGTACATTTTCATTCTACTTACAGTGGAGGGGTTAGCATCAAGCGTGCCGAGCTCCACACAGATGACCGACGCCAGCGGGACTCGTTGGACCGACAGCAGACGGTCTGAAGTCTCATCATAGTCCGCCACGTAGTACGCGTCTTTCGTCAATATTCATAGCCCCCACTCGATGGACGGACGATCTAGTGAAGATCGTCAGTCCACCGAGTGGCAATACGATGTCATTCAACTTACAGTGGAGGAGCTAGTGTCAAGCGTCCCAAGTTCCACACAAGTGACCGACGCCAGCGGGACTCGTTGGACCGACAGCAGGCGGTCTGAAGTCTCGTCATAGTCCACTACGTAGTACGCGTTGCTTGTCAATATTCATAGCCCCCATTCGATGGACGGACGATCTAGTGAAGGTCGCCAGTCCACCGAGTGGCAATAC